GAGCTCAGAGGCCACCAAACAGAAAAAAACTTCGAAGTGGGTTGCATTTTTGTTGTTATTCAGTTTTTCTTCCAAAAAATCACTAAGATATTCAGTAATGGCTTCATACAATTCATTACAGAACAAACCACAGCCGAAAAGCGCATTGTCGAAAGTTTCTTAATATCATTTGAAGGTACGCCCTGGAACCATTACGAGTTCTCACCTAGAAGACTATATGGATACCACTCTAAAGGAAATCCTCACGCCAGTAGAAATAGCAAAAACCATCAACACTTCGGTGACACATCACCTCTTGCAAACCACATGCACGAATGATACTGCTGGCGAAAACACACTCATGGCTTACATGCTCAATACTAGTACAATTACAATAGGAAATTGGAAACGGCTCAGAGACTGACGTTTCTTGACACCACTTACATCCTGCTAACAGACCTGGGACGAATATCGAACTAATCACGAGTAGGAAGAGGGAAACAAACCAGAACATGACAATAATACAAAAGATTTTATCCTCCTCACCGAGAAACATATCGCAAGATTGGAAGAAAACGTGGAAGATCTCGAGTACGACATCAACAGAGCCTAAAAGGTCGTGAGTAAGGAGAAAATCAAGATGAAGTATCTCACCTTCAATAACTTCGATAACGAGGACGTCAACACAACCCTTAAACGTATGGAAGAGCACTCAAAGAACACTGCAGAGAACACGAAATCTAACGTAAACACTACTCCACAATGGTCGCCAAGACCTCATGAGGAAGATAGGGTTCTCCAAGAAAAAGATATGACGGACGAAGAATATATGGATTAACTGATAAAAGGAAATCCGGACGGCAGAGAAATTGATGACTTCTAGCACAAGATGGAAGACTATTGGAGTCGGCTTGAGAAGGAGCTCAAAAACCTCTAGCAGGAACTCCGCCCCTACCAAATAGAAAGATGGAGAACGACCAAACCGTACTCAGCCTCTTCATCACATGCCCATTTTGCCAAGAAAGGGGCAGACACTATTCAGACTCACGTCCACAGTTCATTGATGGAACATGAGGTACAAGCCTCAATAATCAATGAAGAAAATGTTACACTGTTTCTTGAAGCAAGCAGCTACCAAGAAGGAACGCGTAGGAAGGTAAAGAAGAAAGGAAGGAAAGGCTTGCTGGTATTGCGGACAATACTGGAAAGACACAAATCTGGAGTTTCTATCCACAGGGATAACGGTCACCACAGGACGCTGTGTACCCCGGATACTGGATTCAAAAGACAAAGATACCGCAAAAAAAAATGAAGAAACATAAGGAAAGGAACGTGGAGAGAATTGAAGAAAATTATGCCGGTCCAATAAGAAAGCAATAATACATGTTGTAGAATACATTACAATTATTGCATTTCTCAAGCTTTCATTGCGAATGCAAACTTTGTTTGTTATTGCCAAAATGTTCTTTTCACTAATGCAACGATTATAAGTATCTCTGTAGTTCATAATGTAAAATATGGTACTAGTGATAGGGATGGCAAGCTGGTAATGGTCCATTCATCCAAAGCCTTCCAATCGAATCGCTTCGATCCTCAATACTGGGACTCCGTAAGCGCAGGGATCATCCGAGTTAAGGCGTTTCGACGCCACCTAAAGCTGCTTCTTGATCATAGCCCTATCATCAATCACTGCAGTCTTAAACACATACCGCGTGGCCATAACGCCAAGGCCACTACAGTACCCTGCCGTCCTCCGATAGCAGTGTTCTGCTTCAGACATTTTGCGTACGACCACTTGAGAGAAAAATTTTGAGCGCAGAAAAAAACCACCGCCTTCATCAGAAATCAACTGGCTTGTAAATGATGACACAGAGAGAACCCCTCTGTGCCTTAGGGTCTGCGCATTTCTTCGCTCATTGTACCGATGTACCGGCGGGCCTCACCCCTCCACCCTTATCAGGTCTTAATGCTGATGTGACTGTCGTAGCTGTAGGTCTACTAATGTTATTCAATTAAAGGTCTGTAAGGGATGGCGTTATCCGCCGAAAGCTCTTATCAGAAAGGATTGACGCAAACATCGAAACTACACCACAAATATGTAAACATGTCAACATATTGAAGCATAGGTTTACACCAGTCGGCAAGTGTGGCGAACAGCTATGATCGCCAGCGATCTGCGCTGGCCTGTCACGAATGCTGAACGCTCGCCTGACTGCACTCGTGTCAATCTTAACTGATTTTATTGTAGGTACATGAAATCAGAGACTTCACAGTGATGAATTTTTCGCTACCATTCGTCGAGCAGCATTCACCAGCTCGCTACTTTTTGAACAGTGTTAAATCTGCAAATCAATAATCACACTGTGAAGTGGAGATATCGTATTTTTCAAGGCATTTCCCGTCGTCACAAATGATTGCCATATTAGAATAGTTAGCGTTGAACAGCTAAACTTTGTACATAAAGAATATGTTAGAGCACCTTTATTAGAGATTTAATATGTATCTTAATCAGTTAAGTTCCTCATAATTGATCAAGTGATGATTCAGAAGATCTTTTCAATCTCCAGCTGGCGATACGAGTACGCTTTTTTATGGCGCCAGCCTCACCAAAGGCAACGTCCTTACTTACGAGGAGCGCTGGCGACTCATAAGCACCTCATTGACTTCCTACCAAATGGCTTCCTCTATGGCACCTTTGACTTTCCACGAACATCGATCCAGCTACTCGGCGTCACTAACGGGGCTTATTTCGAATTCGCTCAAATTGCACTTTCAATCTCCAATAAAATACGCTATTTCCTGACTGGAATTCTTCATCCTATATCCCCTACCCTCATGGTCTTCGCAATAAGTCCACTGCTATTAAGAAGATATTGTAGTCAGTAGATTTCCTATACCACCATAATAAATCGAATCATTACAGATCAAAGCTGCTTAAGACCACCGTGAACTTGCTTTTGCGATACTTTTGCTACCAAACGCATTTATTCCTTCTTTTTCTACCTTGCAGACCTTTCAATATTGAGTTCTTCCTAATCAAAACCCGCCCACAATTTAACAATTCAAGCAATATTTTGATAGGCAGTACCTTCACGGCAATACGTGTTTGTTTCGCGGACTCATCTTCTTAGGCCGAAGAATTGTCGACTTCCGATCGCGTGAAGAGACGATGATTAACACTTATCTCATACGGTGACTCGAACGTATGCTCACTGCCGCCTCAAGCAGAAAAAACTCGAGGACACTTCTTTGGATCCCGATTGACCAGATAATTTGTTTGCAGCTCGATGAACACTCAATGAATGGAAGCGCGGTAATCTGTGCCCGTCGAATTTTCGATGGCAGAGGTCGAGTAGCACTCTCAGTGGACGTTAGCGGCTTATTCATAATATCGATCCATCGGTAAAGACTCACTGATTTGGAGGAGTGATACAACCAAAACTGCGAAGATCCTCATATCGCGCACTTCGATTACCTCTGGCCTTACGAGATGATGTCGCGACTCAAGTCTTGGATCAACACTAGATGTTCAATCAGAATCTGACTCAGCAGCACCACGCAACGCCTGGCTTAATCCAGAACTCTGATCTTCCACCTATCCTTATCCAACTTTTGCAGAGAAGATTTGAATGAGGACAATTCTTTAGGAAATTTTTATTTCCAATATACAGCGGTGGGGGGGGGAGGACAAAAAAGACACTTTTCTTCCTTGACTTTTGAAACGCTACATGTTATACTTTCTAATCGGACATCCATCAAGAAGTTCCGCCACGCTACCGTGAGTGGGTACCTGTGATACCACTATGGGCACGGAATACAGTTCATGTGGCCTGCTTAGATATTCCATCTTCTTCAGATACTCAGCGCCCTTCCATTCCAAGTAATCGAGAATTTTTCCAACGAACTTCAATTCCGTGTGTTGTCACCCAATCCTGAAGCAGTACAAATTTTCCAAGAAGGTGCAGGCAACGACATGTGGGGAGGATATTCTTCTCGAGTTGCTCGTAACCGCCAGTGCTCACCTTCAGTCCGGGATCCACGAAGAAAATATCGGTCTTTACATTCCAGGTACGTCCGGTCCCCACCATCAACCCGCGCCTTGACGACTGTGGTGAAGATGATGTCTGAGAAAACAGCAACGTTTTCGGAGCTGCTCGATGATGGAGGTCTTCCAGATCGAGAGTACGGTCTCCAGGTAGCTATCATGGGTGGCTCCTCAGTAGAAGTTCCGCAGCTGCTTGTGGGTGACATGAATTCCAAAAGTCTTCTTAAGTTAGGCTACGACTAGAGATGACTTCATATTTCGGTGTGCATGAAGGTGAGGGCTGAGAGCAGCTCCTTCTTATCTAGGAACATCTTGGATATCTTCCGCCCTGGTATTCGTATCCACGTCCTCCGTCTGGACTGCGAAAACTTTGCTGATATGTGGCTCGATCGAAGTTTCTTTTTTTGGTTCCCTCGCCGATCTCTTGAGAATAATCTCAAGAGATCGGCGATCGCCATGGTTAGTTCAATTTTCTGTCAAATGATCCGAAAGGCGAGGCCAGAAACTCAATAAGAAAATTGCAGGTCACAGGTGACATATACCATGAATCTTCTTCACAATAAGTACACTAGCAGAGATGTTTTGCTCAATTATCTGATGGAGAAACTGGACAATTGCTCCCTAAATGGCCAGTCTATACACAGGATCAACGCTACTTCTGGAAGAACTCAGGCTATCCTAACCCGATTAAAGGGAAAATGAGAGGGGTTAAATAACTCTTGGCTCATCAAAAAGGTGTTGTTCAAATTCCCTGATTTTCTCAAACGTAAAGTGGTTAAACGTAAAGTAGTCATGAAGAAGCAGAGACTCGCACCTACTTCTTTCACCATGAGCCTACTCCTCCAATACCTCGACGAAGTCATAACACCAGAAGAAATACTTGATGTTTACGAAATTGAACACGAAGCAACCAGTGAAGGACAATACCTCTTCTCGCAATAAACCAGGTCTCAAAGGATCCATAAAATGAGTGGGCATGTACTGCGAAGGTTTCCACTCTTCCTCATGCGTGCATAAAATACCCCACTCCATGGGAAAGATCTGTCTATCTGAGGCAGCGTAATTTTTGCCTCATATGTGCATCTCCAACCCACAAGCCGCACAGTGTAAAAGGCGAATGTATTTCAATTGTGGAGGGACTCACCAGGCTTTCTGTTGATTCACATCCAGCAACAAGCCGAACAACCCATTAAGGCCATCCAGTACTCAAGAAATCGGAGGCGCGGCATACAGGTCAACAACAGCCCCCAAGAAGGATATCGGAGACAATAAGGCTCCAAAGACTAGAGAACCGTTCTCATGCCATAACGACCGCGACCGAGAGATCTGTTCCCTCAGACCATACCGGTTGAAACCGTGGCTCTCCAGCACAAATCCACTCCTCACACCCCTTCGTCGTTTACATCCATGCTTACCCATAGTTGGACTGACCGTCGTTGATACAGAGACCAAGGCCCTTCTAAGGTAAATGTTCCACTGAATATCGCAGCGGAGCTGTCTTTCATTACCAAAGCCTTGGCGGAAGAACTGCAGTAACCAGTTCTGGAGAAGAAAGAAGTGAAACTGGTAACCTTTGGTTCTCAAGATGCGAAGAAGAACAGATCTAACCGAGTGCACTTGAACGTTTGAGATGCAGAAGGGACTCTCATAATTTAGTACTGCTCACACATGATGTCTCGACGCGTTGGCTGGAAACACCAAACCTTCGTCAAATTCGGTTTTTGATCGTACAAATCGTGTGGCGATCGGATAGAGGATCACGCCCTCCATTTTATTGGGATGTGATCAACTGTGGTCCTCGAACAGGACAAGAACCCTCAATAGTCTTACAATTTGGAATGCATATTTTACTAACGAAGATGGGATACCTAGTTTCAAAGAAACCCAAAGTTGGGAACAATTATGCCTTCCAAGTTTCTCAACCACTTCCAGATGACGAGGACCAATGGTAAGTGCTTTGGTTGATGGACACAATACAACAATGTCGAGTCTCTCAGAGAGTGACATATCCCATAAAGAGAAGGATAAATGGGACCCTAGATGGGACACGCATTGAATCGTTCATTGGTACAGAAAAGGAAGCCCGTGCCGCACTAGACAAGAGAATTTGGCAACAATTCAATACCACGACACAGCGTCGATCGGACGGGTACTATGTGCGCCTACCTTGGAGAACAGTTTCCCTATCCACCGGACAATAAAGCATTTGCCTACAGTCGTCTCTTCAATGTATCTTCTTGACCAGTACAATAAACTTTCCCAAGATCTGCCTCGAGGGGATCATCGAACCTGTTACGGATACAAAGAGTTGCGGCAAGGGTCATAGATGCGCTACATTCCCCTTCAACCTGTGATTACCCCCATAAATCGACGAGAAAGTTGCGTTGTCTTTGATGCCTCACCGCACCATAACGGTTGCCCATCTTTGAACGACGCACTATAGAGAAGATCTTTCATACTCTCGTTCATCAGTGGGGTTTTGCTTCGCTTTAGAATAGGAAGAACGGCTATCATCTCGGACATCGAAGAAGCTTTTCTTCAGGTCATTCTGCAAGAACAGGATAGGGACGCAACAACGTGCTTTTGGTTACGTGATCACAAAGCACCTCCATCTATCAGTAACACAATAACGTTTCGCTTCACAAGAGTGACGTTCGGCATAAAACCTTCCGCCTCTTTTTAGCTAGATTAATAAACTATCACCTCCATCAATATCAGAATGAAGGTCACTTGATTCGGGACAGCAGAAGGACATGTATGTGGGCATTGCATTGGTGACGATGGACTCTTGGAGGATGCAATATATACGTCTCGACGGACGAAAGAGATCTTCCAAGACCTGGACATGAATGTGCGCAAATTCTCATCCAGCAATCACCTTTTAATGGATGGAATAGAGTACATCGACGAGACTGACGAAAACAGCGCGGAGGTTCTGGGACACTCTTGGAATGTGAAGGACGGCACGATTGCATCACATCATGCCACGTTCCGGATACTCCATCACTGACCAAAAAGAGTATTACAGGTGCAATAGCGGCAATTGGGATCCGTAGGGCTGGGTCCTCCCCCAACAGAAATGGGCCATCAGCAGAAGTGTGCAGGTTTTCACCCAGAAAATCCCGAGATTTCGCGCATCCAGGAACACGCAAGTCTTCTTGTTGCCTTCACAGATGGCACTTCGTCAATCTTACCTATGTCAGCACGATAAAGCATCCTTATCTGAACTTCCACCCCTACATGGGCAGCATACAATTCCAGAGCTAGAACTAAATGCTGCAGCTTTGTCCTTGAAACCCTCCCACCATGTCTTTACCAGCTGAAGGACACGCTCAGTATCCAGGGAATTTACTTGTTTTCTGTCGCTAAGATAGTGTTGAGCTGACTAAAGGGGAAACCAGAACGTGAAGTGGGTCCTCGTTAGGTGCGTAAAGGAAATGCGATACATTGCACGCCATCCCTGGTCTATTGACTCGACGCTTCTGCAACCCACCCCATCAATGGCCGTGCCAAGATAAACTTTTGGTTCACCCCATTCAGGAACCGGAAGAAAGTCCTCTTACTCAACCCGTGGGACGCAATGAGATCCTCCTGGTAGAAGTCCAACGGAGAGATAACCTTGAACTTTTCAGTCCGGCTCAGATGCTATCATTCATACAAGCTAAGCGAATCGTAGCATACGGCCTTCGCTTCATATGCATTCTGGCCAGGCGCAGAAAGGTGAACAGCTTCACGAATGGTGCTCTCGTCACACCATTGAACCAGTACCCATCAGAACAACCGAGCTGCTTAATTGCCTTGAGAATCCAATGCAGCGGGGCTAGCGCTCGTTCGTCATCATCAAAGCGTATATATCACTCGAGAGGTGATCTCTTCCCTGCAAAACCCTCCCCCCCCTTCCCTCTTCCCCGAAAAGAGCTGGACTACGATACCAAGAATCCCGTCCTTGTACTCCAGAAACTTCTAGCAGATGTCATAATAAGGGATGTTCACCAGCAAGTCGATCACCTAGGCATCGATCATACAATGGCCATGGTTCGTCAACAACTTTGGATACCACAATTGCGCTCACAAGTTTGCGCAGTTGTACAAAAGTGCTTTCGATGTCAAAGGTTCAATAACGTACCTTACAGTTACCGTGCGGAAGAGGATTTACCCAGAGAACGATTGTTCGTTCGTATCCACTCCAGCATGTTGGCATAGATTACTCTGACCCATCTCAATTCTGCCAGGCGCACGGGACCCAGGGAAATGTTACGGTGCAATAACTGCTACCCGGCTAATTTATCTAGATGTTGTTTCTGATATGACCATACGAGCCTTTCTCAATATGCTCCGTTCGTTTTTTTGCCGTAGATGAATACCTCGGTCAATCACTAGTGACAATGCTGCAACATTCGAACTAACTAGGAGAAACCATTTTGCAAGCGGTTCAGAATGATCCACTCGTCTTGCGAGATCTGAGCGATAAGGAGATCCAGTGAAGATTACAATACAACATTCACCTAGCAAGGAAGTTTTCACGAACGACTGATCAAAGCCGTGAAGCACTGTCCCTTCGAGACGCAAAGCCGTGAAGCACTGTCCCTTCGAGACGATAGGAGAACGTTTCTTCCGCTCGAAGATTACTTACGACTATCTCTACTAGGGACTAGGGAGCTCGTCAGGTCGAAGTAGCCATTTGTAATGAGATGTAGCTCACTAGACGTGGTTTTGAACGCTGATCTCGAATCTGCCTTCAAAATTTGCAAAGCGATCCTCTGAACGGAGTTATGGAGTTTTTTCAACCGCGTTTACTACGCAGCAGTTCGGGGATCGGATCCTTGCTGAGCTTAACTTTTTTGCTTCTTGTGAAAACGTGGCAAAAAGTGTTTGTGGCGTCACTACTATCCTTCACTTGCCTAAAAAACAGTTTGCGTTCGCTTACTGGCGCGCTTAGTGCCTTATGATCTAGGAGAATTTTTGGATATACACGTGCCATTGGAGCATAGTGCAAGCGTTTTCGCGCCGAGCGAGTGCCATATTCGTATTTATGGGGGCGAAATACGCCTAGGTAGAGGTTTCTAGCCAAATCTGCCATTTTGACCTGACCTCGAAAAGTGAAGCATCCATGAGTTAGTTCAGTTGATGTTCACACCTTTTCAGCCGCAGACATTTTCCTGCAGAAAGCGTCGTCTTGCCAATTCTTACGCATTCATGTTGTTACTGCTCCACTTTTCCTGACATCTAAAAGCAAATTCTGTCCAAGGACAAGCAATCGACAAGATACTGACCCTGGAACTATAGGTGACCATTATTCGATCAACTGCTACCGCACTTTTTGAAGTTAGGTCAAACCCTCACGTCTGGCTGGAAACCTGTCCTAAAGGGTAGTTTTGCTCTTTGAACACGATTATGGCACCCATTTGGCGTTTGAGTGTTTTCTAGACTTAAAGGAGACATTCCCCACAAAATGCGAAAGAAGCTCCTCTCCAGAAATTCGAACCCTTCATGTCTGCTCGCAAAGCAAGACGATTACCACTACACTATGCCAACGTTGAACGCAAAGGTGCTTCCCGGCTATGCATGCGAATTGGCTGGCAACCGCCCTCGACTCCGTTTTCCTTCATTTTAATTCTAACAAACCTTCATAATTCCGTTTAGAGAATCGCTTTTCAAATTTCGAAGGCAGATTCGAGATCAGCGTCTAAAACCAGGTCTAGTGAGCTACATCTCATTACAAATGGCCGCTTCGACTTGATGACCTTCCCTAGTTAGTCGAAATTAAGACAGTACTCGATACGCGTCCTTTCACGTATGTAGTAGGCGAACCTCACAAAGCCTCAATACTAAGTCCAATACACTTCTACTGAAAAACACCCCCCCCCCCTACTGACACTTTAAGCAAACAAAGGACGATGAAGATGAGCCGCACTACTTACCGTGAACCTAGTGTGGTCCAGACGAAGCAGCAAGCGGAGATAGCATTGCAGTCGTCCTGCCAATTCACAGAGAAGTTTAGAATGCATGACAGAAAAAAAACTCACGGCTTTGAGAGAGAAACACACCCTCAACGTCGGCAGGAAACGCGGCTGTCCACAATATTCAGAACAGGGGACAGCAGCGTTGATAAACGATCTTATTCTAACCCACCACTCTTGGAAAAAGGACAGAATTCATCAGGTTAAAGCAAATGATTGAGGATCAATACGTGAAGTCGTCGAACGGTTACTATCCCATTGGCAATTCTTCGGCCGGTCAACCTTTTTACCCCTTTGGAACTCGAGGAAGAAGAGCGCACACTAGCCTCAGAACACCAGAACCTTCTGACCGACGAAGTGGTCGAATGAAAAGTCACATACCTATTGCCCCTGAAGCGGCTTCACAGTCAGATAGAGGTCACTCCGAGGTAGTGCCACAATACAACCTCAGGAAAAGAGGTCCTGTAGATTATTCTGAAGATATGCAAGGGAATGTGATGCGAGCAATAACATGCACGAAAGCGGGGTACACTGCACCTCCTAGAAGTACTCCTTTATGAAACTTGCACAGAACAATACTGTTTCAATTACTCACCCGAACAAATTGAAAGAAGAATAACATTCTTTTCAGAAATATACTCCACGAGCATAATATCCACTAAAAGCTTTCTCTGCCGTACTCTATAGAGACCATTGAAAGCGCTTGCCCACTGGCACCGCTTTGCCCATCAATGGACTGTACCTTTGCAGCGCCAATATCTTCAATCCATCAGCGCAATATTGGCAACGGCCACAATTCTTTACTTCCTAATAACAGGTTGCTACTTCATCCTGTCTGCACCTGTCACAGTCGGGAGACCACTGAGAGTTCTGTTCAGCACTACGTGGTCGCAGTTCAGATTTTCAGAAACCCAACTAAGGAAATTACAATGCTCGCGGAAGAGTATCAATTCAACGACGTCGAGCAGTCGAGATATTGGCAAGCATGGCAG